CTCTCTGATACTTTGCTGTGCAAACGTTGCCTTATCTAGACGGACAACTTTTTATTAATTGTGTATTTTGATTCATTCAGACAACTGTTCTTTTTTTTCGCTAATTTTCTATTTTTTAAGGTACATAATGTTGAAGCAATTATTGCAATTCATAAGGAGAAGGTCGCAAGGAGAGAAATCGGTTTACTTACTGCGAATAAGTGTATACAGAAGCAACCAAAGATTGTGGCACGACAGCCACAAGTAATCCACTTGGTTTTTTTATAGTCTCTAAAGGCCTAAGGGTCATCCTTGGAGATTTTTTTGCGAATGTGAATTGAGCAGTTGTAACCAAGTTTTTAGGTTTTTCCTCTGTTTATGAATTCTAAATTTCTTGCTTTTCTTTATCGTATGTGATAACTTGATTTTTCACTTGTACAGCCTTGTGTGTAATGATTACTTTCTTCATTGTGTTGATAATTTGTTGGCTTCTCAGGAAGTTCCTTGAAAAAAGAAACGTGTATTGCAGGAGATGGTACAACGTTACCAGCGTTCACCAATTGATTATGGAATACTGGATAATATAGGGCACGGAGTAAAAATACAAGAACCACAAGTTACAAGGAATTTAATTTCTCGTACAGCCTCTACTGTATCCGGAAGTTCTGGAGCCCACTACCCAATATTTCCAAATTACGAGCAACTTCTTCCTAAAGCTAATATTAATTCTACGGTATAGTTATGAGCTAATTTTGCTTTTAATGAAAATATGTAGTTGACGTTTGGGACTAATCGGAATCTTTTTTATGTAGTAAATGTGCATTTTTTAGTTATCGAGAGCAAGTGGAGCTCATTACCGAACTCCACAAGCTGCTTCCACACCTACTATCGACCCTCAGAGGTTGTCATCGCTAACTCAAATATCTAATTATGGACGACTTCCCAGTAATTCTCATTATGGAAGTATTACTTCGCAACGAGAGTCTACTATTCCCTTACCGCCGCCTCAGTTGACTCCGGTTGCTCAATATAGACTTTCAGATAGTAGCTTGGGTACAATTTTCCACTTGTATTTGATGCACTTTTGACGAAAGAAGCAGAATTGTTGTTTGCATGAAAGCTAGCGACGGAAAGTCGTTTTATAGTGTCCTTGTTTAAAGTGCCAGGGTTTCATTTCTGTTCAGCTGAAGAATTCCTAATAATTCTGCATTTCACAACTTTAAAGATCTATAAATATTATCTTTAATGGATAGTTATTTAAATGCTTTTATTTGTTTTTTGAAAACTGCTGACTATGGCTTGCTTGTTTTGAAGCTTTGATTTTCATATTCCTCACTACTGTCGTCTTTCTGTTCGCTTTATTTCTTATCATTTTTAGTCCTTCATTATTGGTATTTTTTGACACTTATCTTACTCTGCAGATGGTTTACCTCCCCCTCCGTCCTCGTCAATGCCAGATGAAGATCCTTTGCCCCCACCGCCTCCACAGATGGCGATGATGGCAGGTAATTACGCAACCTCAACTCTTGTCAAGTCGCAAGAATCCCCATACGGTCTTAGTATTGCTGGTGATGGTCATCCGATAGATCTGGCATATGGTCATATAGACTGGATTCCAAAAGTCTATATTGAGAAGGGTAAGTTTTTGCTTAAAACAGTTGCTTTTAATTATTCATTACGAAGTTTATAGCGTATTCTAGTGTAGTATCATTTTCAACATTGTCTTGATATTAATGTTTCATGCAGACCAATGTTACGGTTAAGGTTTTCAATTTTATTTGAATTCCTTTCACTGAAGAATTGTCAATTTGTCTGTTCTTGTTTGAAAGTTAATTTAGCGTATTTTCATGCTCATCTTTTCCACTTTAAAATTGTTTGTTTTTTTGAAATTTATGTCAGATTAATTAGTATTGAAGAATTTCCATAGGTTTTGGGATACAAAAAAGCCAGATTTCAGCAGTAGCGTTGTATGATTATGATGCAGAGAAGCCTGATGAGTTAACCTTACGAGAAAATAATGTTGTTTACGTTCTACGAAAAAATGACGACGGGTGGTATGAAGGAGTTTTAAACGGTTGTACAGGACTTTTCCCAGGAAATTACGTACAAGCTATATAAAAAGGACATTTTGTCTTTAAATGAGAGCAGTTGTATGACGCTGCGCACTGGCCGCTGCCTGTCTTCAGGAGGATTATGACGTAAGTCTGTATACGTGTACTGTGATTTGAACGAGTTAAAAATCGTTTTAAAAGTTAATTATTCTGGTTGCTCCTGCAAGTCTGTTAAAATTTAGGATTTGTTGCTTCCATCTTGATGTTTTTTTGAGTATCTTACATTATTGGCAAAACTGGAGTTGGTTTAAAGCACGGATAATTTATAAAGTGCTTTTAGTAAACTTTAAGTTTTGTCGCCAGCAGTAATGTTATGAGAAATTTCTGTAAAGACAATCATTATTTGATGCGCTGGTAAAGTGATATAATATGCCGGTGAACTTCAATTGGAATATTTGCAAAATTTATCTGTATACCGGATTGTTGTAAATTGTGTGTATCATACTGTCATTTCAGCTCTTCTAGTGATCTTTGCCATTTCAAGTTGTTGAAGACAAAAAACTGTGTGGTTTTTTATTTAAGCACTACTTTGGAAGTCTGAAAGTTGTTATGCCTTAAATTGTCTTATCCGTTTCTTTCGGGAGCTTGTAGATTATAACAACTGCTGTACCTGAAATGGTTTCAGTTGTTGTTTATATTCCAGTTTCTTCATGTGTGTTGTCTTAGAGTTGCAGAATGGAATGCTCAGTTAGTGATAAAAGTATGAAAGATCTATAAAGATATGACACTTTTTGATTTGAGCACTGTTTTTATTTAAACTTTACATTTCTTATTCTGCCAGGTGACTTTCTTTGTCTTGGTAGAAGAGTTTTTATTAAAACAATTTGTTAGCAGATCTACT